ATTCCTCTTGGCTACATTGCCCTTGATCAAGCTGTAGCAGGCATCTTATGCCTTCCTTGCCATTGATTTTAGATCACTTGTTGTTCCCTTGTCCCTGGGTTTGTTATCACCCACTTTCTTTGCCCCACCTCCTCCTCTCCTTTGTCCCCCTGGAACCGTCGGTCCCATTGTTTTCTCTTCTGGGATTGTTTATCCTGCCTATCTTATCTAGATAGACAGGTGCATCTCATTTTTTAATAAAAATCTAGGGAGGCCTTTCTAAAACGTCTGCTTGATTTTTATGGTGTGAAATAAACTATAAGACTCTGTGGACTTAATAACACTACTTTTCAAAGTGAGAAAAACCAAACTACATCAAAGACACAACCTGATGAAGCATATGTTAAAACATATCAGTGGATATTTTAGAAAATATCACTATGATAAAAGCCAATCTGCACTGGGCCTCTTTCTTGGTAACTTTGAGGTTATCCACGAAAGTCTTCGTCAGCCAGTGATTGCAGTTGAGGGAGCTTCAGAACATTTGTGGGGGGAAATGGAACTGATAGATTATGGATTTTCTTTTAAGAGATCATGGAATTTTTATATGAACTGTTTTCAAGTCCCCTCATATATATTTGGCTGATTTCATTCTTTTTTTTAATAAATCATTTTATTGGGGGATCTAACAGCTATTATAACAATCCATACATCATATTTGGCAGTTTTCAATTCTGCCATGCATGAAGAATGCTCAATAAATACATGTTGAATAAAGAAATGAATTCTTGCTGTCAGGAGCCTTTAGATCAGTTCCAACTCATAGTGACCCAGGGTAGAGCAGAAGGGTGTACCGCCCACTCCTGCGTCATCCCTGACATGTTCTTGTGAATGAGCCCATTGTTGCAGCCACTGTGTCCATCCATCTTCCTGAGAGTCTCCTGTTACATCAACCCTCTCCCTAACCTGGGAAACATGATGTCCTTCTGCAGGGACTGGTCCCTCCTGATAACAGGGCCAAAGTGCGTGAGACCAACCCTTGCTGCCTCCTCTTCTAAGGGCATTCTGGCTGTACTTCTCCCAAGACAGATTTGTTTTTTCTTCCCATAAAGGAGTAAATTCTTGGAAGATAGTCTCTAATCTGTTCTGATTGAACTGTGTCCCTTGCGTGCCCTTTCTTTTTATCAATTGAATTAAAATTTTATGATAGTGGTAGTAAATTCAAGCCATCAAGCACTGTTTAATCAAGATACGTGTATCTGGTGTCCTTTCATTTTGGCAGCTTCGGGAAAGGGGAGGGAAGTGGGGATGGGATGAACTGAGTCAGGTCAAGTCTGCCACTACTCCGCCCAGTGATGTCTTTTGCACGTGACTTCGGGTCTTACACTTGGTGCTAGCGCTTCCACTGCCATTGGAACCAGAAAGAGGAGAGAGCATCTATCCATCTGCGGAGCTGCGGGCCCTTTAAGGAATAGCTGACTAGATTTCAATTCCTGAGCAAAGTGTTGAAATGCAAACAAAACCTAAATCTATTCCTAGGATTTGTTAAGTTACAACTTCAGTTCAGAGACTTTATTAGCAGAGACATCACAATTCTATTTCGATATTTGGGGCTAAGTGAAGCTTCCTCCCCTCGCCGTACTTCTGAGGCGCCCCTCGCTCACTACCATGGAGTCAAATGGGAGCCCTGCTGGTGCAGTGGTTACTGCTGTATCCAAGTCCCCCAGTTCCAAGCCACCAGATGTTCCATGGAAATATGGGGCTCTCCACTCCTCTGAGGAGTTAGGCGTCTTGGAAACCCACAGGAGCAGTTTTACCCTGGTCTATCGGGTCTCTATGAGAGACTGTGTCGGCTGATACAAATGGCTACCTTCTCGACTGCTGTAGACTGAAGGGATGCCTCTTCAAAGACACTCACAGGTGCCTTGAAGAGGAGCCTGGCTCTCCGCTTCTGCAAGCTCACTGCCTTGAGAACGCTTTGGAGCTGCCCCACGCCCCAGCGCACCGGCTCACCATGAGGTGCACCTTTCTGGGTATGCGAGCTTCTTCATTTTATACAGGGAGCATAAAATCCCTCCTCCCTTTAACCAGAAAGCCCAATGCACAGAACTGTAAAGTGATGAGAACAAGAGCTTTCGGCAAACTTGTCGGGATTTAGAATGGCAACGTTCTGGATGAAAATGCCTCGGATCTTATTGGGTTCCTCTTCCTGAGATATAAATTTCCCGACTAGACTGTATGGGCAATATAGCCATAGGATTATAGATAAGCATACAGATAAAAAATATCTTTCCCTATTTTGTAAAGCTCAAAAACTAGATTGCTCTGCTGCCCCCTCCTACCGTACAATTTCGTCCAGCCTCGTGGGTCAGTTACAGAGGCAAATTCTGCAGGAGACCAGACCTGGGGCTCCAAGTCTAGAGTTGGTGCCTCTCTTGTGGCCCCTCAAGCACCCACCCTGGAACGACTTACCTTCTTATCTGCATTTTTCATCAGAACAGGAGCCCATGGAAAGAAGGGGTTTGATCTATGCTAGTTTAAGACCTAGCCCCGACTTCAAACACAGCCCCTTACATGTGATGGTGCTCAGAGCAGAGTAGGTGAATAACAGACACGTGGTCCCCAAGGAAAACAGCTGTTCAGTGTTCACCTTGGCATCATGAATGTTTATCCTGAATATCAATTAAAGATGCTTCTTACTTTATTACTAAAACACTTAAGAAATTCCTTAAGATTTCTAGTTCAGCTCCCTCTTGCTCCAGAAAGCTCATGAAAAAATTTCCATGATCAATTCCATTTTCCACAACCTTTTTGAAGCCCCTCATACGAATCGTCTTTACTTTTTAAAAATCAAGTTTTTGTCTTAGATGGCTGCTTTTCCTCAACTCTAGCATCTAAAAATGGTAACTAAGGAAGACTTGTTTTTAATAGTGTCGTGGAGTGCCTTGTGCTCCCGCAAAGTGTGTGTTCAGTTGGCTAGATCATGATTCCAAGTATTGTGTGATGGCCCTCTATTTTGTAATCTGATGTAAGTATCCTCCAGTTTATTATATTCTGTAAACCCTAACCTCTGCCTGTGATTAATGAGGATTGGATTACTTTAAAGAGGATTAGGTTGCATTCACTAACTTAATGAGGCAGCTCTAGGGTGAGTTGCATCATCCTTACTTATGTCACCCATCACCCTTACTCGGGTCAATTGCAAAATGGGGCATTTGGACTGAGTGGCTGCTGGGCTGGGATGCCATGTCGTCTGGCTCCTCCAGAACCCATTCTCCATTAGGCTGATGCCCTGCTGCCCCTGCCTTTAGGCTGCCGGTTGGTTCTGCCAACGAGGAGCCCAGGCAGAATTGGGATGAATAGGGGAAGCAAAGAGGCCTTGACCTCTGGTTCCCTTGCTAAGAGGTCACCTTGGGTGTCATGGACTTTGCCAAGTGTCCCAATTCCATTCAGGGCTCCAGCTTTCCATAACTCTCCCCTGCAGGTGGCAGTAGCCATGCGGTCTGGATATCTGTGCTGCCATGATCCCCATCCCCATCGTTCTCCCTCACTCTGACCACAGGGATGGCCCAGGCGCTCTCTAAGGGAGCTCCCTATATCCTACCACTCGCAATGCTGCTGGCACCCTGCTCGAAATGCTCTGGAAGAGTCCTCGCTGCTGTCACTGTGCACAGGCTTACGTTGTGACCTGCTTAGCTTGGTTTGTCTGCTCCCCTTGCTCCATCGTAAGATTCTTGGTATCATCACGCTGAGTCCGGATGCCGTGCCATTTAATTGCAGAGATGATATCATTTTCCTCAAAAGTCTGACTACCGTCCACTATTGTCCACAGGTACAAGAGAAGTAAAACAGTCAGAAGTAAGTAAAATAAGGGCACAGCTTTATTTCTCTACAAGGCAGTAAGTACACTGTCATATCAAAAGTTCAGTGCTGGGCATCTTGCACCCAATGTCCTTAAGGCAGCAACTGGCTATCAGCTCCAGTCTTCTATCGCTCAGCTGTAGACACAGGCTCCATGCAGCACTTCTGAGACTCCACACTGGGAAGCCATGGATGCAATCAAAGACAAAACCCCTGAATTAAAGAGCCCTCGGGCTGAACTCAAAACAAAACATAGGACATCAACAACATACATCTCCCAAAAAATAAAGAAGTGCAATGCATGCTCGTACAAACCAACAATAACAAGAAAACAACAAATGCAAAATCTCCCAAATAAGTTTCCCAATGTGTTACAAAAGGAAAATAAAAAGTATTTATATATATGTATGTATATATAGAATAACAAAAGTTTGAAATACTAGTGCATAGTCAAATACCTAACACCATGTTTCTTTTCTTTCCATCCAAAGCTCTACTGCCCCTCTGAAACTAGCAGCATGTCTACAGGCTAAGACCATAGCAGCAAAACACATTTTTCATTTGGCATTTACAAAATTAAATTACTGAATAAAAATATAATTTTTTATAAAACTATTCCATACAGTAATAATTTTTAAAGCAAGCTAACAAAAAAACTCGTGAAATGGTCTAGTACAGTAAACGCACCTCCAATGTTATATTAACCATATATGAGCATTTATAATCTTGGTTTATTACCCCATGGCATTAAGTCAATATTTATAGTAATGCTTATACTGATTCTTTAAAAAAATTTTTTTAAATCAATGTTCTGTGTTTAGTGATTGAGCAAAGTGAAATATTGGAGTACCTTTCTTTTAATATAAAAATTCAAAGAAGTTATCACAGGAGAAAATACTGGTTTGTTGGATCCTCTAAAATACAAATTCAATCACCGTAGGCTTTAAAAAAATCTGCATTAAGATATTAACAACTGGTGACAATGCATTACCTAATAATTTAGGTAAGGCTGTTATTTACTTTTTTAAAAAACCCTTTTAGTTGGGTGAAATCCAATACGATTTCGGCCAACTCAATGCACTTTGTGCTGTTCTCAACTGTTGTACCACAACAAAAATAAGCACTTCTCCCATTCATGAAGAGCTTCATGTAGAGGAATGGTAGCTCCCCAGTCAACTTGAAGTGTTCTGAAAACCATAATGCTTGTCTGGAAATGTCTCACATGACCAGCGTCCGAGCTGAGAATGCATTCACGTATTTCCGAGCCTGACTGGAAGCCGTCATCTGATCCTCTGTCTTCCCACAGGATGCAGATTCCCAGGCACCACCACAAGGCTAGAAGAGAAAAAGAAGAAGCACGGATTTCAATTCGCACGTGGATGCTGAGCCAGGATATGAAATGTCCAGCCAGCAGGTCCGTGGCTGACACCAGGAAACCTCTGCTGGATGGAGTGCCTTGACTCCCTGACACCCAGGAACCAAGCATTCTTGAGCGAGGGCACTTGGCAGACACCAAACCAAGCCAGCTGTCTGTTGGGTTGGCTCCAACGGCCGGCGACCCCACAGCGTTGCCGCCTTGTGGCCCCCACATGTACAGGGGAACACTGTACTCCAGACTTTACAAGGCTGTTCCCTTTTGGAAAATGATCCAGGGGGCTCTCCTGGGAGACACCGAGGAGCGGGTTCCGACTGCCCACCCGTCCATCCTTGAGCATTGGACCATCTGCGGCCCAGGGACTCTTCATTATTGATCAGAAGTCACGGACCTTTCAGAAGGTCAGCGCACTCCAAGCAGAGTCAGAAGACAGTGCCTCGTGCTCACGCTTCCATGCCTCTTTTTGTTTCGGAGGCAATTCTTCAGAATTGGAGACCGGAAAGAAAATGATTTTCCAGATATATTGTACACATATTTTTCCATCAACTAATTGTGAAATAAACATTTGCTTGTCAGTGTAGCTTAAGTTTAAAATATATGTATTGTGGTATACTTTATATGAAAATTTTTTTTGATATGTTCATCTTTTAAAATATACCATTCAGTGACATGAATGACACTCAACATACTGTGTAAGTGCCACCACACATCCACTTCCAAATGACCCACATCTCCCTGAATAGAAACCCAACACCCCTCATAGCCTCACTGGAGGAGCCCACTGGAGGAACCAGGATGGCATTAATGTCTAATGGGCAGCACCTGGATGCCAGGGCTAGTGTTTGGCACTTCTCTCCTATTGGCTTTGTCAGACAGCACAGCCACCCCATGGCTAGGTGCCCTCTCTCTTTGGTGAGCCCGGGCAATAGAGACAGAGGAGATTACCGGGGTCACGTGCTCCTGGCTCCTCTGCAGGTGAGCGGTGCAGGGGCTTGGAGCCTATGTCTACCTTCTGCCTGGCTCCTGCCAGGCCTCCATGGGGCCTCACGCTGAAGCATGTGCTATGTATGCACCCTTTGCTCCCCAAAGGACTTAAGATGCTTGCAAAATGAATAGAAGAAAGCAGGCATACCAGGTGCAGAAGGCAGGGTCGCAGGAAAATGGGAAAATAAATCATATAAAGACAGAGTAAGACTCATGCACCACACCGTTGCTTCGAAGGCCAGTGTGGCAGCTCAGTGGTGTCACTGGGGTCGGAGTCACCCGGTGCTGGAACCCGTAGCGTCACCGCTCCCACACACCCATGGGCCTTCTTTCCTACCAGACCACACGGTCTCCTTGGTGATATTTAGCATCCATTGTAGTCATAGAATAATATGTGGTAGACAGAGGTAGAGAGTGCTTAAATAGAGTGTTTCTTAAATTATATGAATACTGTCAACACAATGGCTGGGTAAAATCTTTCTACATTGAGTCTCCACATTGTTAGTCATGGAGTGAATGCCTTTGGCATTTGCTTTCCTCTAATTACGACTTCATTTCACAAACATTATTCTTCTAGGTTCACAAATGCTAATTACCACAATATTGTAGCCTAAGTGCAAGAACATTTGACAAAATCAGGTACAATAAAAACATTGGCAGCAACAAAAGCAGATGCAGCGACATGATTCAGAGTGTCACTGGAATGGGGCAGTGACCGCTCTGACCAGAGCACTGACTCACAGCCACAGAGTGGATTCTGGCTCACAATGACCTCTTAGGCTAGGATATTCATGAAAGCACAGACAGCCTCATCTTTCTCCCAGAGAGCAGCTGGTGGACTCGATCCAGCTATTTTCGTTAGCAGCCTGACACTTAACCCCCTGTGCCACCAGGTATCCTCTGGAGCAAACTGGAAAGTTCAAAATACAACTCCGCCTCGAGTTTTTAGCCTCATGAGTATGTTGGTGCATGCACGCTGGACTTGTGAACAATGTTTAGTTGTTATCACTGCAGACAGATTTTTATGAAAATGTAATTCAGGCATATCACAGAGAGATTCAGAGGCTCCAAGCCATAGCACCACAATGAAACAGATAGTGCAGCACAGTGACTCAACGGTTTGGTTTCCCAGTGCATCTAACAATTGTGTTTACGCTACACTGTGGTCGATAAAGTGTGCGTGATAACACGGTGAAAAAGTTCAAAGTATTGTGAGAACTATCAAAATGTGGCACGGAAACACAAGTGAGTATGTGTTGCTGGAAGAATGGTGCCAATCGACACGCCACTAACGTTTGGTCTGTAAGGAAAACAGTTCTCTGTGAAGCACCATCAGGACAGTGCAGTCCAACAAGGGAGGCCTGTACAATCCTGCTAAAACACTGCACAAGAATCCTCTAGTCGCGGTGGTGTCCACCCCTTGACAGTGCCACCCGGTGTGGTCTACACTAGCCAGTGGTGCAGCACCAGCTGGACTCTGAGCTCCGCAGTAGGCACTGTAAAGAGGGAACTAGAAATACCATCGCATAGAAGTTTCGGTGGCCATCAGCCTAGCACCAAACCAGAGGGTTAGAAGGTGCACACCTCTTCTTGGTATTGACATCTAAGGGGAAGATGTCCCCATGGGACCAAGAGGAATAATCAGAGAGAGGTCTCTGCTTCCAGTATACTTTAGGAGACACCATGCCTATGCGTGAAGCAGGTAGAGTAATAGCAGAGAGCATGTGAGAGATCTGTGGAGCCAAAGCCAGGTGACCAGGGGATGAAATGCTCAAAAATTCCCACCAGGCACACTGCAAGAGAAAATGAGGCCCATGAAGGTTTCGTCTCTGAAACTCTTTGAAGCCCTGGTGGCATAGTGGTTATTCATTGATTGGGCCACTACCTGCAAGGTCAGCTGTTGGAAACCATCGGAGGCGCCATGGCTCTCCACTCCAGTAAAGAGTCAGTCTCGGAAACTCACAGGGGCAACTCTACCCTGTCCTGTACAGTCACTAGGAGTCAGCATCGACTCTATGGGGGTGAGGTTTGTTTTGCAAACCCTACAGAGAGTCGCTATGAGTCAGAATGGGATGGATGGTAGTGGGTTTATGGTTTGGTTTGGTTTTTTAATGAGATGGAGTAGGGATGCCGTGGCTTAAATGGCAAATGACACTTAACAAGTGCCAACTATGTCCTAGAGTCCCTGGCTGGTGGAAACAGCTAATTTGTTTAGAGATGAACCCGAAGGTTGAAGGTTAGAGTCCACCAAGAGGCATCTTAGAAGAAAGGCTCGGTGGTTTACTTCTGTCAGACGAGAACTTGATGGCGTGCACTGCTATTTGGGCATGCATGGCCTCCTCCTTTTTGGGGGGTGCTGCTAGAAGAGCTATACCACAAGTGGACACCTGGCTCCAATGAACAGAAATTTAGTTCCTTAATTGAGTTTGGAAGGCTAGACGCCTGAGTTCTGGCAGTGGCTCTAGGCCCTAGAGTCTAGGGCAAGGCTTTCGCTGCCTGGTCTGGTTCAGAGGGAAGGTGCTGGTCTCCTTTTGGCCTGTCCCTCGGGACCCTGGCCATCTTCCTGTGTCGTGCCATCCATTCTCTGCCATCTTTGCTTTCTTTCTTGCGATCTAAGCTGTTTCTCCTGCAACTCAAGAGTGATTTGGGCAAAGACACACCTGGCACAGATAGGGACAAAGTCAAGCAAACCTGATTTCCAAATGGGGTTACAGTCACCTGTTATAAGGGTCAGGATTCAAACACAGTTTTGGGAGCTCAGTTTAACTCCCAACATGTTGGGGAGCCATGCGTTGGAATCAACCCCACCACCACAGGCTGTTTTGTTTGGCTTGACTGAGGCAATGTGTGCGGAATTGTAACAGGTTTTCTAACCAAGCAGTAAGAAACAAAGTTCAATGGCATAAAGGGTGCAGTTTTGTGCTTTTAACCTTTCACATTTTGTAAGACACAAGCCTCGCTCCTTGGCTTCTACCTCATCTGCGGTGTCACCTCACCCCTGGCGTTAGGGGTAGACACACTCTCTCTGTGAGCACATTGGCTCAGCTACTCACTCACTGCCCTTGACACTGAGTTGATGCCAACTCCTTGCGACCCTAAAGGAAAGGGGAAAACCGCGCCCATGGGTTTCTGATGCCGCCCATCTTTATAAGAGCAGGAAGCCTCATCTTTATCCCATGGAAGAGCTCATGGTTTTGAGCTGCTGACCTTGTGGTTTGCAGCCCAGTGCAAAACCCATCACCTCCCAGGACGCCTTCTTAGGCTCGGCTAGTCACTTCAATACTGCACAGGAAAGTGGATTGTCCTGTTGTTTTCCAGGAACTGGGAGCCACAGAAAGGATTTCTGGACCACCTTCTGCTGCTAGCACTTACTGTTTTCCCAACAACATCACCAAGGTAGTTCATCGCATTCCTGGAGTAGTTCTGAATTAATGAACATCCTTTAGACTCGAGCCTGCGGCTGAAATCCAGGTACACACTTCTAGGGCCTGTATCTGTCCTCCAGATGACATAAATGTCAAGCAGACTCACTGCCATCAAGTTGACGCTGACTTAGCAACCCTGTCAGACAGGGTAGAACTGCCCCAGTGAGTGTCTGAGACCATTAGTCTTTATGGAGTAGAAATCTCTGTCTTTCTCCCTCTGAGCAACTGGTGGTTTCAAACCGCTGACCTAGCGGTTAGCAGCCCAGTTCACAGTTACTACACTACTGGGGCTCTTCCTATGAACTCAAAACTTCCTGCCATTGACAACTATGACAACTCATAGGAACCCTACAGGACAGGGTACAACTGGCCCTGTGAGTTTCCAAGACTGTTAACTTTCTACGGGAAGAACAAGCCAACATCTTGCTCCCTCGGAGCAGATGGTGGTTTCGAACTGTGGACCTTACGCTTAGCAGCCAAATGCATAACCTCTACACCACCAGGACTCCTCCCATAGTTCAGTTTAATTCACTGCTGAGATGCTGCTGCTA